GTGGAGAAATCTAAACAAGACAAGCCCTCTACAGCAGTGGATTCTTTAAAAGAATGTGATGAATTATTTTTCCCAAACATTCGAATTTTACTGCACCTTTTTTCGGTTTTGCCCGTTACAACAGCCACTGCAGAAAGAAGCTTTTCAGCTTTAAAAAGACTAAAGAGCTATTTAAGAAGCACTATTAGTGAGGAAAGGCTTAATGGCCTTGCCCTTCCTTGCATCAATAAATCACGAACTATTAATGTTGACCATGTTATAACTGTTTTCAAAAATGAAACCTAGAAGGATTGAGCTTTCCAACTAACTTCATTGCTCATTTTTTCATTTCGTTTTTAAATTTTTTTGCGTTATGTACGATATACATATATGAATTATATGGGTTTTTTATATTACATTTCGTTTTTTTACCCCCCCCCCCCCTTATGCAAATCCTAGATCCGCAACTCCCCTTGTGCTGGCAGGTTTGAAATCTCCCAGCCTCGTGCGGTGATGGGTCATTGACCTTGATATGTGCTGTACTACCACGCGCAATCTTGTCGCCTTGCCTCTTTTAGTTTGGCTTCAGCAGTGGTTGGAAGCGGATCGTGCTTAGCTCACTTGCCGGAATTATGACAAACGAAAAAATCGAGCAACGTATTAACTTAAAGTTTTTGGTAAAACTCAAAAAAAACGGCCACTGAATGCTTTCGAATGCTAAAAGAGGTCTACGGAGAGGAATGTATGTCTCGTGCAATGATTTTTATGTGGCATAAAAGGTTTTCTGAGTGTCAGGAAGAAGTTAAAGATGATGAACGAGAAGGGCGCCCCAGCACATCCAAAACAGACGAAAATGTTTCAAAAATTAGTGAAATTATTAGAAAGGATAGGCGTCTTAGTGTAAGAATGATCTCAGAAATGATAAATATCAACAGAGAGATAGTTCGACAAGTTTTGCATAATGATTTAAACATGACAAAAGCCTGCGCAAAATTGGTCCCGAAAAATCTAACCCAAGAACAAAAAGACACTCGTAAGGAAATTTGTTCTGACACGCTTGAGAGGCTAAATGAGGAGCCAGATTTTTTAGGAAAAGTAATTACCTGCGTCGAAACATGGATTTTTCAGTATGATCCAGAAACTAAGAGGCAATCAATGCACTGGAAAAACCCCTTCGGAGCCGAGAATGAAGAAAGCAAGAATGAGCAAATCAAAATTGAAAGCGATGCTCCTTGTTTTTTTCGATATTAGGGGTGTTATTCTTATTGAATGGGTGCCTGAGGGACAAACAGTCAACCAACACTATTATTTGGAAGTATTGAAGAAACTAAGGGAACGTGTAAGGAAAAAACGTCCAGATTTATGGAAGAACAACGCGTGGTTGTTTCACCAGGACAATGCACCGGCCCACAAAGCCATTTCCATTAAGCAGTTTTCAGCTGATAAGAAGATCCCTGTCCTTAACCACCCACCATATTCACCAGACTTGGCCCCTTGCGACTTAAAATGTATGAATGCACCGCTCAAAAGGGTAGAAGCGAGGAATGCCTCAAATGCGGGGAAATAGGACATAGGAGTAATAGCTGTAATAATAAGGAACGCTGTACAAAGTGTGACGTCGAAGACCATAGAGCAAATCAAATAAAGTGCCCATACTTTAAAGGTTTGGTAGAGAAGATGAGAAGAGAGAGAATACAATCAATAAGCAGGGGAAGAACTAGAAGCATTTATGAACCTTAAGCTCTTACAAACAATTAGGGAGGGGGAGGGCAGCGCACGATCTGGTTTATGCTTCAGCTAAACACAAAAAACAGACATCTTAATAGTCGGCGAACCAAACAATTGACAAAATGATACAGACAAAGGAAAACTGGCAAACAATACACAGAATGTTAAAAGAAATTCTAAAAACAAAGGAAGAAGCAGAAAGGACTGGAAACTGAGGATACTCGTTGCCTTCACGATGGAGATGTCAAGATTGGCGGTTCCGTGAAGTGCATTCCCCCTCAGTAACGAAATTTGTATTTATGTACTGCTCTTGGATTAGCTGTGAGAGTTACTCAGCAAGTAAAAGATATAGGGTTTGACACTGATAATTAATTTGACGGAATATTTCGAGAGGCAGAGGATGCTCTTAAATATATCGACATAAAAATACCACGGTTCCCATCCCGACAAACCCAAAGATAGGTCATACCAACAGCGTCTGCAAGTAATTATTTTAAAATAACAATTTCTATTGCCTTTTTAGACTCTAATTTCTAATCTCGAAGATAGATTTTTAAATCACAGAGAAACCATAACACTCTTCAATTCATTGTTTCCTTCTCCTGAAAACGCAGAAAATAACTCTATTTTCATAAGTATCGACGCAAAACTCGTAGAGTACAGTCGAGTATTCGAGCATTGTGATAATTCGGTACAAACCCGCAAATTACATTTCCGAAAATTCAAAGACCAGTCCTTAATACAGTCCACGACCCCTGCGGCTTAGGGTGGACGCGCCTAGGAAAAGAAGTCTGCGTTAGGAAGCCAAGGAAATTAAAGGTAGGACCTGATTATCGAAGCTTTAAACTTTCTCATGCGCGTGACATACGATTAGCTTCACCATAATCTGTTCACTGGCATTTGCTTTATATACCTGTTATATGCGTCTCATAACCCTTATCTTATGTATCAAATTACAGGCGATAACAACTTCCTTTCTAGAAAACATATTATGTTACAGCTTTCGCAGAATGCAGCGTAGATGCACCTGCACTTCTGCTGATGCTGAGGTCAGCATATGCGACCTTATACAGGGTGGCCACTTTTTCAATGGGATTGTATTAGTAATTTTCAAACCATACTAGTTAGAAAGTCGGTTAAATAGAGAAAAAGTTGCCTATCTCGAAGCATAATCTAGCGGTGGAAATTAATAGAAAATAGCAGGCCCGGCTCTTGAGATATTTCGATAAAAGGAAATTCGATCTTTTCGGTTTTTTAGTTATCGTTCATTCATTTTCAGAATTACTAAAAAATATTTTATAGGTTTTTTATTTGATAGTAAATTTTCTTTGATTTGACGTTTTCATATTTTGCATTCAACGTTTCGTATTCTCCAGACCACCCTCAACTTATTTTTTTAAATGTGGACCTGGATATTTTATAACATTATTTGGAATAACTTTTCGTCCTGCATCCAGCGGTGTATTACACAATGGCATTCAATGACGGTTTTTGGGTAATATGGACCGTAATCCAAATTTTATTAAATTTACGCTTGGTTTCAGCCATCTTTAGTTGAATCAACATGTCGTGCCCCTCGACAAAAAAATAAAATCAATTCTTACAAAATTTATGTAATTTTTCGAAAATTAAACAATTCATCATCAATAACAATAGTTATGTAGAAATTTTAAAACGCAATTACTAATAATAACAAAAAGAAATTCAGTTTTTGTAAGTCATAATCAAATTATTTGAAAATATCAATAAAATTAATTGAGTAGTTGTTCAAAATGTCCGCCATAATTTTCAATACATTTGGCGATTCTGATATTCATATTTCTTATGCTATTGTTTATTTCTTATTCTTGGATATCTTCCAATGCATCTTCAATCATTTCGCGGAGAATCTCAATTATTGCATTCGGTGTATTATACAATTTATTTTTGAGACGTCCCCACAAATAAAAATATAATGGATTCAGATCAGAAGATCTGGCAGGCCACGCCACTGGACCTCTTGTTCCAATCCATGAATTGGGAAAAGTCTAAGTCAAATAATCCGTGACCATTCTTGAATGGTATGGACCACATCCATCTTGTTGGAATCAGATTTCGTTAAGACGATACTCTATAGGAAGATCGTCTAACATGTCCTGCAGTATATCTAAACATTTTTCTGCAGTAAGGTTTTCGTCAATAAAGTATGGTCGCAGTAATTTATCATTTAACAAACCGTACCACTTCTTGGATTAGGTGAGGATTTTCCGTGGCATAAAAATGTTTATTTCTTTGATTGAACATACCAGAATTCGTAAATGTTGTTTCGTCTCCCCAAATGATATTGTGTGCAAAGTTGTTATTAAGTCTTACTTTCTGTTTGAGCCAATTACAAAATCGAAATCTTCTTTCAGGATTATTACGATATAGTTTTTGTACCGCTTGGTATTTGTATCGGTGTCTCTTGACTATTTAATTAACAGCACTTTTTGATAAATTACATTCACCTGCAATAGTCCTCGACCCAACTCCTGGATTTATTCGAATTTGAGCTGAGACATTAATATCGTTGACCGACTCCTTTCTTCGAACATACGGAACTCTAGGTTTATCGAATGTATTATGTTCGAGAAGAGTTGTAGACAAACGCCGAAAACATTTTATATTTGGTTGCATTCTGTCGGGATAACAACAAAACAAAACATCTATAGAAATACAGGGTGGCTCACGCTCAACGGGACGGAGCTTTATGGGAAAACGACCAAAGATATAAAAAATTCGTTTGGGAGGAATACGTAGGTTACAGACGGCTACAATTTAAAATTTGTTAGATGTATACAGGATGTCCCACATAAATGAAAAAAAATTAGTTCATTAAAAATTATTCAAACAAGAGTAAACAACTAATTTCTGGGAGACTTTTTTTCCTTAAAAATTCAAATAAATCGAAAACTAATAATAATAGTAATAGGGAACCTTTAGTTAACTGACATTATTTTTGATGTAGTTTTTAATTCTAAAATAAAAAACAGGGTGTTCCAATAAAAATAATATAACTTTGTATATTTTCTCTTATGTGGGACATCCTGTATACATCTAACAAATTTTAAATTGTAGCCGTCTGTAACCTACGTATTCCTCCCAAACGAATTTGTTATATCTTTGGTCGTTTTCCCATAAAGCTCCGTCCCGTTGAGCGTGAGCCACCCTGTATAAACACAAAATATAACATGGAAGAATAACAAGTAAACGAGGTATCAATGAGATATAGAACAGACATAGAAAGAAGTTTAGACAATACACCAGTTTTAAACATGGCCAACATAGTAGAGAAGAAATGGAATAACATAGAGAATGCCATAAAAACATCAACTGAGAAAAATATAAATAAGAAAAAAACGCAGAAAAGAAAGAAATGGTTAGATAATGAATGTGATGAAGAAATTAAAAAAAAAACACACAAACTGAGAGAAAAATACATACAAACAGGTAACAATGCAGACGGAAAAAATGAATAGAACACAGAAAGAGGCTGTTAAAAAATGTGCAGAAATAAGAAAAGGTGTCACCAATAAAAAAAAAAAGTCGCAGAAAAATCTGATGTGTCCAACACATGACTTTCCTATCTAGTTATTACAGGCTTTTTCCGGTTATTTTGTACAACCTATTGCAGCATCTCTATAAATGTTTAGAGGATAAACTAAATATATACATTGTCCACATACATCTACCGCGAAACATTTTTCTATAGATATTCATTGAAAATGAAAATACTGAAAAATTTAAATTTAGCACTTTTCCTACAATTTTTCCATTACGGTCCATTTTAAAAAAATCATGTATGAACAAATATTATAGAGATCGATATCGCAAACAACTTTTATTTCAACAATTTTCATAAAAATCAGAATTTTGCACATTTTGTCAAATTTTTCGAATACGGACCATTTCAGGAAATTTTTACAAAAAGCAAAAATTATAGATAATAATATTAAAAGTAACTTTTATTTGAACAATTTTTTTTTCTCCAAACATAAATAACAGATATATTCCATAAAATATAAAAACGGCCTCCCATAAAGTACCCCCCCCCCAGATGTTCCGACTTTGTCCAAAATCTAATCAATTCACGTCAGGCCGAAATAAAACTTAAGTTTAAAATTTAATGTTTTTTTCTTTATTCGTTTTTGAGTTTTCTTCAAATTTCTAAATTTACACATTTTCTCAAATATCTTGAATACGGTCCATTTTAGAGAAATTATCTATTGAATAAAAATTATAGAGAATTATATAACAAACAACTTTTGTTTGAACAATTTTTGTAAAAAAAAATATTTTTTTACATTTTGTCAAATTTCGCGAATACGGACCATTTTAGGAAAATTTTGTATATAACAAAAATTATAGATAATAAAATAAGAAGTAACTTTCATTTGAAGAATTTTCTTCCCCAAACGTAAATAACAGATATATTCCATAAAATATAAAAATGGCCACCTATAAAGTACCCCCCCAGATGTTCCGACTCTGCCCAAAATCTAATCAGCTCATTAGACGCTGGAACAAAGCTTAAGTTTGAAATTTGTTGTTTTTCCGTGTATCGGCTCATGAGTTATGCGTTATACAGACACGCACGCACACACGCACGCACGCACGCACGCACGCACGCACGCACCCACACACACGCACGCACGCACGCACGCACGCACGCACGCACCCACACACACACACACACACACACACACACACACACACACACACACACACACACACACACACACACACACACACACACACACACACACACACACACACACACACACACACACACACACACACACACACACACACACACACACACACACACACACACACACACACACACACACACACACACACACACACACACACACACACACACACACACACACACACACACACACACACACACACACACACACACACACACACACACACACACACACACACACACACACACACACACACACACACACACACACACACACACACACACACACACACACACACACACACACACACACACACACACACACACACACACACACACACACACACACACACACACACACACACACACACACACACACACACACACACACACACACACACACACACACACACACACACACACACACACACACACACACACACACACACACACACACACACACACACACACACACACACACACACACACACACACACACACACACACACACACACACACACACACACACACACACACACACACACACACACACACACACACACACACACACACACACACACACACACACACACACACACACACACACACACACACACACACACACACACACACACACACACACACACACACACACACACACACACACACACACATATCGCGAAAATAGTCAAAACGGATTCAGGGGACCTCAAAACGTAAAAATCCGTCGAAAACTCGAGGTCGAAAAAAATCATGATTCCTATACTTTCCTTATATCTGTATACAGATAGGAAAGTAAAAAATGACCACCAATAAAGTACCCCCCCAGATGTTCCGACTCTGCCCAAAATCTAATCAGCTCATTGGACGCTAAAACAAAGCTTAAGTTTAAAATTTGGTGTTTTTCTGTGTATCGGTTCATGAGTTATGCGTTATACAGACACACACACACACACACACACACACACACACACACACACACACACACACACACACACACACACACACACACACACACACACACACACACACAGACACACACACACACACACAGACATCATCGCGAAAATAGTCAAAATGGATTCAGGGGACCTCAAAACGTAAAAATCCGTCGAAAACTCGAGGTCGAAAAAAATCATGATTCCTATACTTTCCTTATATCTGTATACAGATAGGAAAGTAAAAATGAAATTAATCATTTCTATAAAGATAAGGTAAGGAGGGAAATTTAATAGGAGGGAAAAGTGAGCAAATGCAAAGATGGAAACAATACTTCCAAAAATTACTGAACGATGAACCTGAATTTGGTAGGTATGTATTGTCAAAAATGGAATCGGGAATATTTTTTAATTATTTATCTTACCAAAACATATTTTTTAATAGTCGAATAATTGAATAATTATTGATTCTCATTTATTTTTTCCTAATTAATCACTTTATATTCGAAGTATTATACACTTTTTAAAAATTAATACTGATTATAAATTCAATACAGATCCGTACAGTAAAATTTGGATTACAGTCCATATTACCCAAAAACCGTCATTGAATGCCATTGTGTAATACACCACTGGATGCAGGATAAAAAGTTATTTCAAATAATGTTATAAAATATCCAGGTCCATATTTAAAAAAAATAAGTTGAGGGTGGTCCGAAGAATACGAAACGTTGGATGTAAAATATGAAAACGTCAAATCAAAGAAAATTTACTATCAAATAAAAAACCTTAAAAATATTTTTTAGTAATTCTGAAAATAAATGAACGATAACCAAAAAACCGAAAAGGTCGAATTTCCTTTTATCGAAATATCTCGAGAACCGGGCCTGCTATTTTCGATTAATTTCCACCACTAGATTATGCTTCGAGATACGCAACGTTTTCTCCATTTAACCGACTTTCTAACTAGCATGGTTTGGAAATTACTAATACAATCCCATTAAAAAAGTGGCCACCCTGTATATAGGACCATTTTTGTAATATACTTTAGTTTTTAACTTACATTCATACACACAACATGTACTAATCTTTCAATATATTCTTTAACAAGTATAACCTTTTTTAAAAAAGTTAAATTAGATCCATGCGATCTAAAATACCTATTTAAATATGATTTTAAAGATTTTATTAATTTTTAGAATATTTTATTTACTTTTTATATTTATGTATGTATGTTTCGTGTTTGAATCAAAATAAGGTAAATTTTACAGTACCTAAGTAAGGTTTTGACTTTAATTTTGTTTCAATGCATAAAATACTTCTTAGTATAGTATTGAGACTCTCTAGGACGTATTCAAGATTTAAACATGGGAGACAATCTGGATTAGGTTGGACACCTCATGTTAGATAGAAACGAGGGATGATAATATTCATTTCATTTTGTGTGTATTTTGTCCAATTTTAAGCTGCAAGGTGGGAGAACAGTTGGTCTAAAATTATTATTGACATGAATCCACCTAGATTCGTTTTCTGGCTGCGCCACTGATGAGAGCACTAGTTTAAACCGTTCAATTGGTTTTAACAAGGGTTCAGTAGAGGAATTTTTTAAAAAATATGTCTCGGTCATTAAAAAGCATAACCTAAACACACATCATACGAGTATTTACAACTTAGACGAAACTGGAGTAACAACTGTTATGAAATCTATAAAAGTGATATCATCAAAAGGTTAAATTGCATCTGGTGAAAGAGGAGCTTTGGTAACATGTACATGTAAGCGTCGACCACTTCGCTGAATAACTATTAAAAAAGTCACATGAAAAAGAAAAAAAAAGGAGAAAGAGCAGTTACAAAAAATGGAGAGAAGCGGCATTCTGAAAAAAACTCCACCCACTAATCCCGCTTAAACAATAATTGAACACCCCCACCCCCTTAAGAAATACATATATTACGTGTCTTTTAGATTAATACCATAACAAAATAAGTATTGAGTAAGATAATGTAAAATTTGTTAGAAAAATAAACAGTCCAATGGAAACTTTTTATGAAAGTCCTATTTCTCCAAGTAATGACGGCATTCTCAGTTTGAATAAGTTCTCCAAAACATTCTGTATTATCTAGTTTAGGATCAGGACAAATCTTTCAGCGTCTATTTTGTATTTCAAGACATGATACTTTCCTAGAACGTCAGTTGTAGTGATGCGCAAACAAATGCTTATTCAAACGTAATCTTCTTCTATTATCATTTGTTTAAATAAGTACAACGTACTGAATACTATTAATACAGTTGTGTAGTACTGCTGCTATTTGAATCTCCAGAATCTGCAAAAAAATAGTACTATTAAATTTTAAAATAATTATGAAACGACTGTTTCTTATATTTGAGGGACTCGGGTGTTAAAATCTGGTGACATTTTTGTGAAAATTGAGTAAATACATGTAAACCATGGTAAATAATGTTTTAAAGTTTCTCAGTCATGTTATATATGTATTCAATAAAGACATTCTTAATCTTGACATCAAAAAACGAGTTTCATTTATAACCTAACACATAACATGGTGCCAAAATCAGTTGTAAAATAGCAGTTTTTACAAAAAAATATTAACAGAAAACAAAACATCAACATCGAGAACCATTAAAAATCAAGAAATCAAACCAAAAAGTTAATTGATGAAAACAGTCATCGAGAAAACAGATAAGCATGGAAAAATAATGGCCGATCCCACTTTTGCCAATATCTGTGAACGTTTATGAGAATTGGAGACTTTTTATCCAGTGATTTAAAAAGTATCAGCTGGCA